AAAAAAAAAAAAAAACTAGCAAGGATCAATACGTTAACCCTGAGTTATTAAAATATTAAAAAAAGATCTTCCTCGAATTAATAAATAAAATAAAATACTAATTATCCAAATTAGTTATATAAATTAATTGCAGTCAATGTTTGGAGCTTACTTCACAATGAGGATTAACCCCAAACTAGTGGGAAAAGGTAAGTTTTATTTTTAAATGTAGAAGAATTATTTAGTTGCACTGAATTCATAATGCTATATATTTTAATTAGATTTGAAACCTTTTATTATTTGATAAAAAATAAAGGACTATAATCTTCATACATTAAACGTGGTTAATTCATAAGGACTATAATAAGCTTCATAAATAAAACGTGGTTAATTCCTTTTCCACTGTTTTATTTATTCACCTTGGTATTTGTAATCGAATAGAATGCGCTGCCGAGTTTGGGCATTTTGAGCTCGTTTTTTTTTATAGTTATGTTCTTGTGTTAGTTCGTTTAATGTTCGAGGAATATATTGTTGTTCGAACTCGTTTGTGTAGTTATTCATCAAAGTGCGAATATATTTGTGTTTGAATAATTCAGTAAACAAATTTATTAAAATTACTCGATTAGCTAGACATGATGGCAATTCGTTTGAAATGGTTCTGAATTCCGGAGAAAAAAACAATCATATTTTTTTATTAAAAAACGAGCTAGTTTTTTTGTTTGAGACATGATTCAATTAATAAAAGCACGGCTAGAATCGATTTATGTTTGCTAATTTTCGATTCGTTTACAACTCTATAACTAATGCGTAGATGCTAATATGTAAATGAGTTCATGAATATAACCAAGACCTCGTTACTATTTCAATGAAGTAAATATTATAATTGACATAGAAAAAAAAAAGTAGAATAAAATAATCCAAATAACAACTCAATATATATTATGAAATCATCACGTCGTGTCAACGTGTATTCAAGTGTCAGTAATTATTATTGAACTTTTTCAATTAGTGGAACATATAATAATAATAATAATAATAATAATAATAATAATAATAATAATAATAATAATAATAGTCTGACTTATGTAGGACCACTGTTGATGTATTTCATTCATATAAATGGGCGGTGCAAAATGTATGCATCTGTTAAAGGTTGGGGGAAAGCAAGTTGTCATATGTTTTTTAAATGAAAAAAAAAATAATAAAAAAAAATATATGCTTCATATAATCAGTGAATAATAAAAACACTCTTTAATGCTAGACTTTTAAAGGTATATAATATAATATAATATAAATATGAATTTTAAGTTTTTAACACATAGCGACGATTAATGAATAATTAATAGTAATCCACGTTCGATGAATATTAAAATAATTACATTTTAATGTGATTTAAATTATCGTCTCCAATTCATTAGTAATTTGATTTGATATGTAATTTATTCGGGATTTAATTTAATATGGTGAATGGATGTATAAACCCCAATTCGGTGAGTCAAAATGTATTGACAATCTTTTAGAAATCAATAAATTGCTACATAATCGGCAATATTAAATAGTGTTATATTTTTTTATTTTTTATTTTCAAAAGATGCATACTTATACTAAACAAATTCTGAGACTACCTAACCATTAATTAATAGTAGACTTATATATATATTTTTTTTTTTTTTCAAAAAGATGCATCTTTATACTTATACTACAAAAAATCATACTTTTATTAACGTTATCTTCTAGTGTAGGTCAATTCTTCTTTTTATTTTTATTTTTTAAAGTAGGTATACCTCTTGTATGACTCTTTCATGATAAGTTCTGCAAATATGCATTAATTGATTTACCATTATATGGCATTAACTCTGCAAACGATTCAAGCAGCTCGCAAGTGCTTGAATAAAATTTCAGTTCGAGATTGAGTTTGACCGAATTACATATTATTAGGTTGATCTGGAGCATAAGTTTAGAAAAGTCGAGTAGTCGCGAGCTGTTCGAGATATATAATGAACTACTAAAATACCTCTTATGTATAAATATTACAATACTTTTTATACTTATTTAATGTAATTTTACTTAAAATTCCAGTCGAACTTGAGTCGAGCTCGAACACTTTGATTTCAAACGATCTCGAGCCGAGCTCGAGCGATTGTCTTCTTTTGACGAGTCAACCTCGAGCGTCATAAATCGAGCTCGACGAGCTCGAGCAGATAAAAAAGAAAAATCAATATTAATGCTCGACTCAGCTCGGCTCATTTGAGTCTATGTCATGCAAGTTTTTCCAAACTCAGAAACATTTTGGGAGAGTTTTACGTATGATGACTTTATAATCTCTCTCTCCAACACTGAACACTCCAGGAGAATACATTAACTTGAGAATATCAAATTACCACATAAGCAAAATATCATCAGCTAAAACAAACCACAGAAAACAACAACATAAATAACTAATGGAATTTTTCTTAAAATAATATAAATCCACAACAATACTTTGAATCAACATCAACATCATCATCATCATCATCATCATCACCACAGCTGGGAATTATTAAAAAAAAAAAAATAAAATAAAAAAAAAAATCCAACAAGCTTTTTATGATTTTCCTCTTACACATACATATATTCGCCGCCTCTAACGGCATTCGCGGCCCCTTTCCTCTCTTCCTCCGCTTCTTTCTCTCTCTCCTTCCAGCTTTCGTAAGCGTGATCGTCAGTTTTCAGCTCATGCCGACAAATCGGACAAGAATTATGCTCATCCTATAAAGAAAACCAAAATTCACATTTTTTTTAATGAAATGCATTCAAAAATTTTGATGTCATGTGATTGTAGTAAATAAACCTTACCAGCCAGGGTTTGAGGCAAGGAGGATGAAACATATGCTTGCACGGTAATTCTTGCATTTTATCATCAACGACCAAATTCTCTTGGCAAATGGAACAAACGGCATCCTTACCGAGCTTCACTAAGGCTTCTTGTGAAACAGTAGTAACAGGAAGCTTTGCTACGACTTCTTTACTGGCGGGGGGTACTCTTGGAACTCCCGAATCTACTTCTAGAATCTTCATTTTTCATGAAAAAAAAAATAGAGGGTGTTTGGCGAAAAAGTATATTTAAGAGATTACATACTAAGTAAAGTTCGAATTTTTAGGATTAAATGAAACGGTAATAAGATTTTGTTTATATAAGTTGGGACTTTCAAACTTCTCTCAATCAATTGCAGCTCTGAAAAAACTTATTTGGGGTTCACAAGAAATTTACTCAAAAGACTTTGAAGAAAAGCTTTTACAAGCTCTTAATTGTTATATAAGATGGTTTTGAAAATGCTTAACCAGCTCAACCAAAACAGGGGAAATGGATTATGAATTCAAGGTAAAGATTGTGTAGATAATATAAATCGTGCATGAGAACGATTGTTTATTTGACGTCATGATTCAATATATAGGCAAAGGCGCGTTAATAGACTTTGGCAATTAAAGACATCAATTTATTCGGTTTTGTAATTAGGAACACATATGCAATTTCCAGCGAACTGAAAAATGACATGGGCTAACTGCAAATTTAACGTGGCATCTTATTGAATCGAGACCCCACAGAGGGTTCTTTGCAGTTGCCTTCAAGATAATCTGAATACGAGTTAGGCAATTTCGGTTCGCCTTCTCAGATTTTTTTAATTAAGGTGGATTATTAATTAATAATCCACATATGGTCAGCAAAGCATTTTCTGTTTTCCGGTAGCCACATAAGCATTCATTCGCTGGAAAAATAACAAAACTGAAAAAAGTCGTATTTTGTAATGCATTTTTGCCTTTACTGTATAGAAGAACCAAAATATTAGTTACAAAAAAACAAAAGAAATTATGAAAAAAAAGGATTATACCTCAGGCACAATATCATCCAACCTCGACATCAATTCTTGCATAAGGTTCGCGGCACTTTCTCCAGAATTAATATTCCCAATCTGCCCTTCAGAAGATTCACCTTGAAACAAGGTAGCAGCAGCCGTTAGCAAGTTTGATTGAACTAACCAATCAGGCTGTGGAGGCTCGGGATCAACGGTGAGATGTCCCTCAAATAAATAGCCTGCGTTATATATATCATATATATCATTTTTACACACAGATTGATAAATAAAGCACACAATATATCATATATTCGAAAAAGATGAGATTTTGCCCTTTTTTTTTTCCATACCTCCACTGGTTCTACTGCCGTTGGATCTCAAATCCTCCGACTGATTTTCTTCCTCGTTCAATTGGCCACGTGCATCAGACACGCAATTTTGTAGGTGCTTACGCTCGGAAGCATTCGAGACGAGCTGTTCGGCTTCCTGAAAAAGGTTAAGCCCGGCATTCCAAAATCCGGGAGCTGTGTATCTTGTTTTCAAAATAGTTGAAACCCGGCATATAACAGTGTAGAACTGCAAATAACATTAGAATATCATAACTCATATATACAAAGCACTCAAACAAACAATCCCAGATGAAAATTAGTTATGTTTCAGCTTGTATTCGACCAATTTGCAGAATAGACTCCTTTCTGAACTTAATCAATATACAGCAGCTAATCTTTCTACATCAAGACAATATTTTTATCTCATATTAATAAAAAAAACCTCAACTTTCCAGGCAAATTTGGCATAAAATCCATATCCCACCATACAATTCGAAAGGAGGGTTAATTTAAAATCCACAAAAATTCAATTTTTTTTTTCTTTCTACTTCTAACATTTATCAATTCCATTCCATCGACGTGGGTTCTAACAAGATCCAATTTTTGGCAGATTTTTTACATTAAAATGCCCAAAAAATTTGATTTCAGGACAAACCCATCAAAACCCCCCAACAAAATTAAAGCTGAATAAAATTGAAGAACAGACAAAAGGGGGAAAATAGGGACCGTTTTCTGGAGATGAGGTGAAGCAGATGAATAGTGCTGTTTGAGGAGAGATCTGATGGTGGAAACCGATTCCTCAAATTTTTGTTTCTTCCCAAGCTGTTTCTGCAAATCTTGCAGGCTCTGTTGTATTTCTTGTTCATCAGCCATTGTAATGGATTTCGTGTGTATGTGTTTTTTTGTGATATGTTGTTATTTGGCAGCCTGATGATGAATGTGGTCTGTATTTGAAGGTTGTGTTCGCTATTGGCTTGAGGAAGAGGAAACCGAAAGATGTTTTACTTTTATTAAAAAAAGATGACTTCGTTTGCTTTTCCTGGATTAGGCAGGATAAGTCGTGATATCACTCCACTATTGTCGTTTGCTTCCTATAATTCCAATTGTACAATAAATTGTGTTTTCATGTGATTCATATTATGTAGGATAATTAGTTGTGTTGATACGGCATTAGTAGGGGTTCGCCTCAGATCGGTCGCGATCCGAGTTTAGTCACTGTTATATTTGGTAGAGCTAGGCGGAGACTAGCTCGGCGTGAACTCGGCGAAATACTAAGAGATTGATGAGTTAGGCGGATATGATCGCCCAGGCAGCTAGGCATCTCAGCATCTAGGCAGCTAAGCATCTCAACAGCTAGGCACCCAGACAGCTAGGCATCTCAGCAGCTAGGCATCTTGACACCTGGGCATTTCAGCAGCTAGGCACCTCGGCACCTAGGCAGCTCGGCCAGAGGGTTCTGCCGAGGGGACCAGAGCCCGGAGGTGGCTTTTGTGATCAAGTCATGATGAGATCTCTTGACCTGATTGAGAGATAAACACCGAAAATCCCATGAGGAGTCTTCAACTTCACCTTTTATAAGGGCACATATTCATTTATTTTACACAACACACACATACGCATTATCTCGATACTCTGTCGTTTTCTCTCCGAGATACCACCACTGACTTGAGCGTCGGAGTGTCCACGCCGCGACCACCCCCGTCGTGTTTTGCAGGTATCGACGATCAAGGAGGCGCAACCCGGTCCGAGAGGAGCGGTCGAGAGGTTCGAGAATTTGTGGCATAACACGTGCAATTTCAACTGAAATGTTCATTTTGACCCTTTTTTCTTTTGTAGAGAGACCAATTTACCTCTCCATTCTCGTCATCACCACTTTCTCCCAATCATCGCAACACTCACTGTTTTCCTCTCCAAATTCATCTGACTTGCTTTTTATAAGTTGAAATTCTGTCAAATTCATAATTTGTGCGAACTAACTCCTCCATTCTCAACATTTTTCATATTTTGTAATCTAGTTGTCTCCAAATACAGAATGAATTTGATTTTGCTAAACATCCTGAAATGAATAAATTATGAAGAAAAAAGAGAGTATTTATATTGTGGAGGAAAAACAACATGAGGATAATCTAGTATATAGTATATACGCATTTCTATAACACAACTAATCAAATAAACGAATGCTCAAGGCGTTATTCACTAATCTTACTTTAAATGTCAAATCTCAAATAATAAATATGAGTCTAATTTTATAGGCAACCTTATCCTTCACCCAACATATACTCCCTCCTATTCATAATAAGTGTCGTTTTGAGAAGTTGCACAGTTATTAAGAATATTTTTTTTTGCCAATAATAACCCTCATTAATGAGGATAGAAATGAATGTTTTGAAAAAAAAATGAAGAGTGAATATGAAAAGACGTAGTGTATTTATTAACTAAATGAGAGTAATAATGGAAAAATATGTACAAAATATCCAAAACGACATTTATTTTGTCAATAATTGATAATGCCAAAATGACATTTAAATAGAATAGGAGGTAGTATATCAATTAAAGCAAACGAGACCAAACTCATATAACCACTAATTTACTTTCCCAAGTCTATTTTTGTATCAATCTCAAATAACAAATATGATGATGATTCTAAATTTATAAACAACCTTATCCTTCATCCAACAACATATATAAATTAAAGCAAACGAGACCAAACTTACATAAGAACTAATTTAGTTGGCCAACGCTATTTTTCTAGACAATTACATCCCCTAAGGGCTAATAATTTAATTTACTTTGTCAAGGCTTACAAAATCGCGTGCCTAAAATCATGTATATTTTTCGTAATATATATAACTCAACATGCAAACACGACTCGTCAATTAAGAAAATCAACACGGAGTTAAACCTCAAATTCACCTCTTTCATAATTTAAAAAAAAAAAAAAAAAAA